GCATTTATGTCATTCCGCCAGTCCCGCGGCGGAACAGAAGGCTGATGCACCTTTTAACTGATTGTAGAAACCAGAGAAAGATTCGGCAGATAAATTATTTGTAATAAATCAATGTCACATGCTTGTATACGCTTTCCTTTATGTCGCTACTAGATGCTTTTTTTTGCATTTGTAAAAATTCACAAAGATAGATGAATCATTTTTGAATAATATGCAGTTTTTGAATTAAAGATTTGCTTAGATAATAAAAAACTTACGATCATGTATAACAGATCGATATTTTGGGCTATAGAAATACTTATTTACAAGTTCGGTTTTCATCTAAAGATTGTCAATATTCATTTTCCGAAATTAATTACATTTTGGTTTAATTTCATTTACTTTGTCCAAAATGTCAACTATTTTGCTCACTAAGTGCAGTGAGCACATCGAAAGTAATAAGGTTCATTATTTCTATGTAATTCATCAAACGCAATAATTAGGAAAGCCGACACCGCGACATCGGCACGGCATGGCATAGCGCAGTCTCCATTTCTTGCAGCTAAGCTTTTATTTCCCCGGACACAATGGGCGCAGGATCCTAAGCCGCTCGCCATTTCGACATGCAGATTAGTGATGTAACGAACGCGAATATCGATAATAGTGCTGCTATCTTGATCTTTTTTTCCTTTCTCAAATAAATATTCGTTATGCTTTACATTGTAACTGCAAAGTCTTACTTCAGAATAATGGTACAACGAACTCAACAACTTCATGCATTTATTTCATAGCCGTGATTTTACTATTTTAATTTTAATTTATTTAAGGATCACATAATAACGATCCCCTGTAGGCCTTATAAAAATTTACATTTAATTTACTAAATAATGAAAGGCAATTCAAGGAACGTCGAAAAAATTATCGATATGCAGTACATCACTATCGTCATTTAATGTCCTTCATTTAATTTCGTTCACGCGGCGTGTGACGAACGAGCTTCGAGAAAATCGGAAACAAGTCGTCGAGCACAGCCGTTTAATGAATATATTTGACTATAAAAGTTAATAGCTAATTCCAAACAGTTCTGTAATAAACTATCGTGCTTGCCAGATAAAGGAATAATGTAATGTCACGTATACACAAGAACTACAGCTAAAGTAAAGAATCTAGCAGTTACTACCATTTAAAATATCGCTTTTTTCATCATACATTTTTTTTTAATTATAATTTCTTAAAATATTTTTTTTATAATATGAAGGCTTGAAGTAAACAGTAATCAGAAATAATTAAAATGGTTACCGATGTTATAAAAAGAGTAGAAAATGTAGAGCAGTTATGGTAATTGGCTAAAAGGCTTTTAAGCTGAAAATTGTATGCTTTTAAAATACAACTAAATAGAATCCATCTAAATTCTTAAATTGCAAGCTGAATTTGTAAGAATTGAGCAATATCTTGATCCGGCTTCAATAGCAATAGCTTCATTCAGGGTCCTGTCACATCAATATTACAGGGAACGTTAAATCGAAAACCATTTGTACAAGTTTCTGCCTATGAAATGTAGAGTAGTGTAGGATAAAATAATACAAAAAATATTTGATAAAATTAATTACGATTTGTCAAAGATCAGTATCTTTTAATTATTTAAAATAATTTACCAACCTCCCGTACACTACGTGAAATTGAAACATTTCAAATTAAATTTATTTAGTTTAATGCGTTTCGTAGAAAGTTGCGCGTGTGTCAGTGCAAAAACTGTCATGTCTGTCGACGGAAGCCGGCCCGCGTCAACCAATGGGGAACGGCCGCGCGCAAAAACTACGTAATTAAAAATTCGGGAATCAAAATGGCGGACCCACCTGTGTTACACTCGAGTGATAAGGTCATTATTTTGTCAGACTAGAAAAAAAAATACTGAAACAAACAATTTCAAATCTCCTTTAATCGTATGCAATCACACGAAAATTCGATGATTTACAATCTATGAATCATTAGTCGCCACAAACTAGTCATCAATGTAGAAAAGTAAGGATATATTTGACTATGCTATTGGATAACATCTATTTTTATTAATAGACAATAATAAATTATTTAAACTAGATATTCCGCGAGTCTTAGATCTTAGAAAATCAAGTTCGGAATACAATAGGGTATAAATGTTTGATGCAAGTATATATGACAGCACTCGGCGGTGTCTATAATTCAGACGGGCCGCTATAATGAGTTGCTAACGCCGTAAATAACTCTGTTTTATGGTCGGACTTTAGTTTTATTTGAAACATATATCCTTCTTTCACTATAATTGAGTATTTGTAATTTCTGTTTTAACTACGTCAAATAAATTCTCTAAATTTTGAATTGTCAGTTATATGTGAGTATAGGCTTGAGCTTGCTTTAATTGTCCTCCTAAACATTTGATGTATCATAATTTTTCTAAAACTCGAGCGTATTCTTACAACTAAAATAATTAATTAATACTCGGATATAAAGGATAGATACTGTATTTTAAATTTGGTAGCAGATAAATTACTGTCTGGTCTAAATAATTTCAGCAACAATTTTTACAGGATTGTGTTTAACCATGAAATTAATATAACCTCAACGGACTATTAAAAGTCTGAATACTTACCTAATTCTCGACTCCTGTGTAAGTTGTCTGTTAGTTCGATACACTGCGTAGTGTACTTACCTGAATTTATAAGTAAATTAAATAGTCAAAGTATATTAGACAGTTGAAGTTAATATTCGCGATATAGATATAAGATAGAGTGTCGTAAGCATCAGTAGAAGGAGAGCTTTAGTTTAAAAGCGAAGAAATAAGAATAAAAATGTAAACGACCGCTTTGCTCTTGTATTAGACTTCCCTCTAATTATTATGTACCAACAGAGGCCCGCTCGGTTCGTTTTTGCCGCCAATTTGCGAGACAACTCGTACACATCTCAAATGTTTGTCGCTAAGCGGCTTCGACAGTTCAAGGATTTGTCTTTGATTTAATTTAAAGGGGAGACCGTGACGTCACACGATCCTGTTAAATACGTGTCTGGAAAGAGCAAGGGATAATCCGTGATCACACGTTAGAAAAGGATGTACAATTTGAAAAGTGAGATTTTAAATGATGGCTGCAAAACTTGACCGAAGAAGTTGTCCGTAACATATTGATTCGTTGCCCTCTATTTTATCTGAGGCCATGGGAAAAATAACTGAGCTTCATTATGATACGTTAGAGATTTACAATTATTACAATTCTTCGAGATTTTGCAAATTTAAGAAAAAAAAATGTAATTGAATATACAATGACTATAAGATGCAATAAAAAATGAAACAAAATGACTACATACTGTGACTTTATTTTAGGCGTAAAAAATAGCAATTGTACTGAAATAAAAAATATCATTTAACATTTTTTCAACTGTTCGAATTGTATCGTTGACATTAAATCACCAGACAATGTTTTTGTGAAATAATATGTACGCAGTTTTTTTACGCCTTTAATAAGATATTTTTAATATTTTCGTGAATTAGCAATACGCACCTATTTCGAGATTATGCCTACTAGTAGATTTTCTCGTCCGTTTTCCGACAAAAAATTATCAGTCACTTGCATTATTTATTTAAGATAATGATCACTATCACACTTTTCACTATATTTCACCATTGATTAACTTAAACACTTTTATAACGTAATTATCAATATAAACAACACCTCCAATTTCAAAGGGAATAATTATTTTGAGAAGTGGGTATACTTTAAAATACATGTAATCAAAGAGTATGTATCTACCAAAGAGTATGTAACTACTTCGTACATAACTGACAAGACTGGCTGAATCACCATAAAGCACGATGAAGAAAAGTAAATGTGACATTTGTTTTGTTTCCCTTTCTTTCTAACCAAAGTACTTAGAGAATATTTTTTTTAAGTATTTTTATAATATCTTCGGTTATGAATTTTAAATATTGACATATAGATTATAGTATCACTTAATCGAATGGAAAACAATGTCATATTAATTTTTATTATAAGTTTACGGTTATAATTGAAACAGAAAATATGTTGTTTACATGAATTTATATATCTTTATATACGGGCGTATATGATATGAAACATTTAAATATCGGCACAGTATCATCAAATTTTCCAGTGAATAAACTTTATAATCCGGTTTACTATCATATGGCACCCCTACGCGTACAGTAAAATAATACCATTGATATTTTAGTCAGTTTATGGTATTTAATACTCTCTTGAGACAGTAGATAAGAATGCCACTGTTTTGCTGTTCGTATACTATATTTATTGAAGGTTAATGTGTAATTAATTTCCTCGATACCAAGAATTTTTTTTAAATAATTTATATGTACTTTTGACTGCCTAAACACAAATTTAAAAACATATTTTTTTCTCAAAAATTGATATTAATATTTGTACATGTATTTTTATTGTTTAATTGGTTAAATTGGTTCATATAATTTTATACGACCATATAACACATGTTAATACTAATTGGATAGCAAAATTTCCACTCATCTTTTAGGCAGGACTGCTAAACTGTTTTAAAATATGTTGACTATAAGTCAATAGGGTACGAAAATACGAGTAGAACTTACTTCGCTTACTGACAGTGTGTACACTTTATTGCAATATTACTTACCCGCTATTCGTAACAACTTACAAGGCAAATGGATGACCCAGATAGGTCCGACACAGCAATGAATGGCCTCACACCTATTAAATCTTTATCGCAGCCTATTAACTACTGAATACGTTTTTTGCTATAATAAAACTATAAATAACTGTGAATCTCCAATGCCAAATAACTTATGCAAAACTATATTATTTTTTGTTGAAGTTTCAACAGTGAAAACCTACTGTAAATGGCTGCTTCTTAATCAAAAATTGGAAATAATCAATTGTTTCAGATGCATTATTATGTCTTTTTAGAAGAGATGATAGGCAAATATAAAAGATAGGAAAGAATGGATAGAAAGAATGTAAAGAATAAGGAAAAAATAAGCCCGCAAATAGTTTTTAATTAATTTTTATTGTAAAACTTCCTCGTTTTGTTATTTCACATCATAATTTTTTGGACCAAATCACTATAACGTGTTCAAATATTTACAAACAATTTACAATATATTGTCGACTTTCTATTTTACAATAAACTTATCGATTTGAAAATCAGCGTTAGATAATTTCAAATTTGTAGATATCGATGTACAAATACACAACAGAAAAGACAAAAGGAAAAGTACTCGATGAAATTGAATCGATATTTCATAGACCAATATTTTTTTCTATTTTTCATACTTGTTTATTCTCCTTAAACTTGTTACATCCATACCATAGATTGCAAACGGTTGAGATTCCTTGAACCGAACCTGTGATTGGAATAATTCTTTCAATCATTATCGAGTTTACATTTTTTTGTATTAAATATTAGCAGATTTTTGTGAATTTACTAATATTTCTTTCTTCCATTCCAACTAAGCTCTAGGCTTGTGCTAGGATATGGTTTACGACAATAGTCGAATGGTAGGATTCGAACTCTCGACCACGTGATCGGAAGTCTGTAGCCTTAACCAATAGGCTATTGGCGCTTAAATTGCCGATACACATACAAAAACTTATCGTTGTCTCACTAGTTCTCCTTGAATGAAAAGAGAAAGAATTCTTAGTAAAGATGAGGTGGCAGTGGTCCCAAATAGTCGTATACTAATTCTGTGTTTCCACTGTTGAAACAATTGTATAAAAACATATTTTCATCCTTTACATCCTTATTGAAACAGCTGAGATAAGAATATATTTCATACAAGTGTTACGGAAATCTTTTAATATTAGTCAATATATTGCCTTACCTCTGACTTGGCAGGAGACAGGTTATCCGCATTCTTATCTGCACCTCCTTCATTCTGTAATCATTTCATAGTTAAAGTACACATATGTATATAATATTTTAACTCCTAATTTTAGTTTAAAGTAACAAATTCATTGATCTCCAGAATACTTCAAGGCAGACTGCAAGGCTGCGAGTTCAAAAACAAGAATACATTTTGAAAAGATCTAAGAGAAAAAGTTATAGAATCTGATTTAAATTAAAGCCAAAATTATACCATAGAATTAAACCGTAAGTAACTATATTGGTTGAAAGAGAAGACTAAGTATTTGTTTTTAAAAATATAAAGCTTACCGCATCAGGTTTCTTCGCATCGTCCAAGTCTTCGGACGGGACCTTTTCTGGTTCGATCACATTAGGCGGTATGTTAGCACGGAGCTTGTCTGCTAAAGTTCGAACCTAACACAAACACATACAAATGTCATTTAAACATAATTTTATAAAAAAGTCCTATAAGAATACTCTTCTTTCCTTAATCTTACTAATATTATAAATGCGAATGCTTAGATGGAGGCAGACCCAAAACAAAATGGAAAGATGTAGTAATAAAAGAGTGTCAAGTCTCAGAAGAAGATGTCATGGACAGAGCGGGGTAGAAGAGACGGATTAGAAAAGCTGACCCCACCACCTTGTGGGATGCAAGCTAGGCAGAGAGAGAGAGAGAGAGAGAGACAGATTCTGGAAGACCACATTATTCTACTAATTAAGTTTGTTTTATTCCGCGTGGATAGACTCGCGGGCGACTGCTAGTCTATCAATGAAATGAAGAGTTTATTAAGATGTGGATGTATGTGAATGTGTGTAATGGTGTACGATGGTGTTACATTGGGGTACTGTGAGAAGCAGGCGCGGGCGCGGCCGATGCAGGGCGGTGCCACAGCTCGCCCATAGCGGTCGCGGTCCGCCGGGTCGAACATGTAGTAACCTACGCAATTACGTACACCAAATAATTAATTACTTCAACCAAAAACAAGACTATGACCACCTTTTCTTTAAAAAATAAAGGAATCATTTTTACCACGCGGTGTTCTGAATAGCGCTACAGCAAATTCACCATTGCCAGCCACAAATACTCCAGAACGTTCTTCACGGAAAAACTCAGTCACCTGAAGAAATTGCATAATTTAAAAAGCACAAGTTCATACGTAAAAATACAAGACCTGATGATCTAAGTTATGTATACCTGAGTCTCCAGGTCCTCGTCGACGAAGCCAGTTTGTCGCGCCTTGTACACCACCACGCGGCACACACAGTTACCCGGAGTATAGAATTTACGTAGGATCTAACAAGCATTCATTATTATGATTTGACCAGATTTTACAGTGGTTTAATACAAAGAAATCGCTTGAATGAATGGTCCCCAAAAATAAACTAAGTAAAGAAGAAAAACGCCATAGTAACCTGTTGGATTCTAAGGAAGGGCTGTGCAGGGCGGTAATGAAGGTAGCTGTCCTGGTAGAGCTGGTCTCCGCTGTCCAATACACGGTCCAGCGTGGCGGCGCACCAGCGGCACACGTCCTCCACGCGAGACATAGCCACCGCCATTACAGAACAAGCCAGAGCCTGCATCAACATACACAGTTTAATTTTAGTGGTTCATATTATGGACACTAAAACTCAAAAGAAACCCCAAGTGCTAAAAGATAATGCTACGTGTGTACCTGTTTGCCTCTAGACGCTGCGGAGAATCTTCGACAAGCCATCGAGTGCTGAGCTGACAAGAACTGTGTGCCGTCATTCAGCACCAGCCATCCGTTGGAATTGCGTTGTCCTATACAGCAAACATAAATGACTAAGACATAAGAAATGGAAGCCTGGCAGAAAAGACAACAGCAAACAAATCGGTTTATTAATCTACTTCATAAGCAAACTCTTCCGTTACGATGAGCCTTTAATATTCGATCCTTTAAAGATATACCTTTCAGCCTGGCATCCTCCTTGTCTCTATTCTCAGTGGCGCGTTGTGCATCGAGACAGGTCGCGCTGCCCGGCGGATGCTTGCGGTCTTGTTCAGCAGCACGGCGCTGGCTACCGTCGACGTTCACCTAAAGATTATCAAAAGAAAACAACTCCTAAGATTAAGCAAGAAACAATGGAAAAAAGTCTATTCCAAGCGGTAGATCTAAGGATGATGATGAAAATCTATTTAATTTTTAACAAGAAGTGGCAAAGGCTGTCGTTTCTTACCTTGCTAGTAGCTGGTATAAGAGTGACGCCAGGAGGCGCGCGCACCAGCGGCGGATCGACTCCGCCAAACTTCCTAATGGGCTGCACCGTCACCGACATCGCGTAGAGCTGGAAGTCGTGCTTCAGACGTTCTCCTGGTGGCACGTTCTGGAGATATCTATAAACGGTGTACATTATCGTTTAATTGTTTATCTAAAACATATGAGCACAATATACTATTTAACATATAACAAATCTTACGCAAACGCCATCAACTTCGGTGACGTGAAAGTCAATACGCAAGCTGCACCGTCGTCCTGAAATTATTTCATAATGAAAAAGGAGAATGTACAAATTATCCCTTTGATGATTTTCTGATAAGGAAGGGGTGGGATGGAGATGTGGATTTGTCATGTTCAACCTGTGCATCTGCCCGGAGACCCGTAGCGCCACAAGCGTGGGGCTCGAACATATAGAACGGCGGCGCGCCGGGGTAGCGCCACACCGCCACCGCGTGCGGCATCGACCACAGGATGCCCGTTGAGTGGTCCTCGAAGAAACGCTCCAGCGCACATCTGGACCAAGCAAACTGTACATGTGAAATCATGGCGCCTAAAGTGACGTCCTTTTTTACCTGAGGTCAGTTGTTATCTTCCTCTAACAGCTTCTATGAATATCTGATGCTAACTAACAAACGAACCATTTTACCTGACAGTCATCTCCGTAGGCTCTCTCTGCTCAAGTTTGCCAGAGTACGCCGACTGCAAGTCGTATCTGACGTAGTTCACGCCCAATATGAAACGTTTCAACACCTGGGAAGTGTTGCAAAATTAGAACATACTAAAGCCGTACCAAAGGTATGTCCCATAAAACATTTCTATAAAACAATGGAAGATCCCCAATCCTTTCAGCGTTTCTGGATGGCTTCATTTGTAAGTCTGTTACCTGCAGAGGAAGCAGCACGTCTTCCCCAGGTCTGAACTCATAACCCAGGGTAGAGAGGGATGCGGCAAGCAGCTTGCCCCCCACCGCCATGACGTCATCGACAGTGCGGCGTGTCCACAGCGGCGGGCGTCGCACGTGCGACATGCACGCGCCCGCGATCGCCCCGCACGCAGACTGCAGCAGTGCGTCTCGTGTAAACCTGACGATATTATTTATTTATAACTGTTGCTTATAATGATCCAAGAAAAGCTGGTTCAGTTCCGTCCAATTATCTGGTAACTGATAGACATAACATGGCTACTTCTGTACGCACAATCTTTTAAAGGTCAACAACCATCAAACTAGCTCTGTTTAGAAACTCCAGAACCATCCATTCTTAAGACATTTACTATTGCAATATAACATACTCATATTTTTGAGGCACATGACAATTTGATCTGAACTGCCTCACAACCAGTAGTTAATCTTGCATTTGGTATGTTGGTACTAACTTGACGAGATCAGGCGGCCTGGTGCCCCGCAGTATAGTGCGGCCGCGCGCTGTCTCCACGTAGGCCGTGAGCACCTTCCACTCATAGCCCTCGTCTGGCACCGCGCCCTGTGGGCTGACTGCGCTCGGACGTTTTGAGTACTCCCAGAACACCTTCACTGATGATATGCTGTATCTAAAATTAGGGCAAAAAACCTTTATTTATATCAATTCTTGCTTGATAAAATCCGATCAATCTTAGTTCCCTTTGTTTATCTTGTAACATTGAATCTCTGTAAAGACAAAAACTTACTTGTTACTTCCCGGCCGCATAAGTGTTTCAATATTATTATTAATAGTCTCTGCTAGTTGATCAATAGTGGCAAAGAGGACAAGTGCTGACGCCCCGCCGGGTGAAAATCGACCTGTGGGACCTACTGCGTGTGGTTCCCACAGGCAGTATCCGTTGCCTTCTGAAGACTTCCATACTCCAACACAGTATCCTTTAGCGCAAACTACGCCATAATTATTCTGAAATGATTAACCTTAGATCGTAAAGGGATTCTAAAAAGGTTTTTAAGTCAGTGCGAAACAAGTAAGTTATGAGGTTAAATTTAACTCTTATTAATGTACCAAAAAAAATTGTATATGTAGATTTATACATCACTTACAGATTCAAAGAACGTCTTAAGCCCTCTTCTTAAGTTCAATACAGCTCCACTGTTACCAGCTTTTATGTCTCCCTGCACCGCGTCTCCCTCGACCTCGAGTTTCACCTGAGGAAGAGATGCACACCAAACAAGGAAATTTTCTACGTCCTCCAAAGAAGTATTGAGTTATTTCCAAAACAGCTTAACGAAAATAATCCAAATTGAATAGAACCTAAAGTAAAGTTCGAAGAAAATAAATTGATTTCATTATGAAGACTTACATTAAAGTTGGTGACGTGGAACTGCGGCTGCACTTCCTCCGGCGTGAGGCGCGGCGGGTTGGCGGCACGTGGCAGAGACGTAGTGTACAGCCGGTCACCATACTTCAGTATGGCGTCCACCAACGACATCTTCCAGTGAATGTATGGCTCTATGTGTTCCACTACGATACCCATTACGGCATTCGCTGCGTCCTAGAGTATGAAAAATTACAATTTTGTTTATTCTCTCTAGTTAAATGAAGGCACAATCCTAACCTTTTATTGAAGTAACATTCATACCTGATTGTCTCTGTTCGGCTGATCCATGAAGTAGTTCTCGTTCTGGGCGACCCGTCCTCGTAAAGACGCAACCGCGCGACTGATGCGTGTAAAGTATTTGCCCATCACCGAGTCCTCCAGTGGCTCTATTAGAGCATCTTCGTCTTCTTCTAAAATGTTCACAATCACCAATAAAGTTAACATTAAATTAGTTTAGTCGGTCAAGATTCCTAGTTGGTGGTATTAATATATCCCCTCTCCGTACTATATGAAAAACAAAAAAAATTAAACTACTGATTCATAAGAAACTATAAGAAAAATAAAGTAATAACTACCATCTTCATCTCCTCCTTCATCGCCTCCAGCAGTTTTCTCTGGCTTCGGTTTCCGCTCCTTCAACACCGATGTCAGTTCGTTTATGATCTTAACTTTATACAGCTTGTACGGCGCTAAACATTGCTTCCTATCCAGCCCACCTTGAAGCGCTGTAACGAAAACCAAGAACTAAACGTGTGAAAAAAGCTGAGAAAATACCAATGCAATTTTGTAGAGTCGTGCTATACGTGACTAATCTATCTAGGATGAGAAAATTGACAAGTATAGCCATAAAAATGGGTACATGTAGTAATAAAATTAGTAAGTTGTGCACATTATTCTCGTATACTTTGTGGTTTTATTTTAATAAGATATTAGTGAAGTAACACTAACTCATTTTATCCAAGAACTCTCCAGGACTAGCGAACACCATAAGGGCGGGTGTTGACTCTGGAGGGACATATTCTGGCTCCGGCTCGGGTTTTTCTTCACCTTCTGTTATTTACAAAGTCAACGTAAATAACATTATTTAAAATAATAAAAGTCCGAAACACATGATGACACATCATATACGCCATCTTACCTCCTTCGGCTTCCTCATCCTCGGCTTCCTCAGCGCCTTCACCGGCCATCTCGTCTTTTATTCTTTGTAAACGTAGCTCATCACCTAAACGCAATACTTTATGCTTATGAGTTTTCAGGCAGAATTTGGTCGAGTGACACTTATACAAACAGGACAAGAAACTATGTTTCTTCATTATCTTTCGTCGGAATCATTTAAAAAGTCGTTACAAATATAACTTGTTAACTACCGCACTCAGAGACTAACCGTTGGTTTATGAATCCAAAATCTCTGTATAAAACATACCGTCAACATTGTCATTATCTTTGTCAAAGAGATCTTGGTCTGAGTAACCCACGGTTATTGGTACCCTTGATATTTCCTGCGATTTAATATGCAAAATCTATATACAGGGTTTCTCTTAATGACCATCTTAAGTGTAAAATTGAGAGACACTGTAAATTGTTTAATAAGATTACCCTTCTTAATTCTCTGGGGTGTTAGCAAGCCTTTCGTTAAAGTGGGTGCAGGGTCGAAGGCCACCACCTTCCCGCCCGGAGTCAGCCAGACACCCAACTGATGGTAATCACCCACCAATAGGCACACGTAGTTAGGTTTAGTTGGATCCTCCCACATCCTGAACAGCGCGTCTTTAATTTCTGTTAAACAAAGAGAGAAGATAACCTTAATTACATTGGTTTCAGAATTCGTCTAAAACTAAATGGTGTGCTCTAACAGAAATAAAGCTGAAGCCCTACAGGCGGACACATGAGAATTCAAGAAATCTTTATGAAATTATATTGATAGTATGTATGTTCATTAAAACGATAATTTTAAAAATCCAAATGTTTGTGTTAATTATGTGTGTGTGTGTGTGTGTGTGTGTTCTTTTAATTGTTAACTGTTATAAATAACTTAAAGTTGGACCTACGTTTCATTGGTTTCTCTTTGATTTCTTCTTCTTCCGCATTTTCACCGAGTTCATCGTTTTCAGCCTCTTCTTCGCCACCCTCCTGCAGAGATAAACTACAAGTTACGAAAAAGTATCTTTACATAACTATATGAGTACTGTACTTTTTACGCTTTTTAAACGCCTTGCGCATTTAAATAGCAATATAACTTTGCTTTTTATTGTTCTGACATTGCATCCCAGGCAAAATAAAATCTTAAATATTTTTGTACACTTGGGCGATCCTGTAAAGTAGCTAAAGACATGGAACTTAATAATTTAAATTTCAATTGTTATCCTTTCCGAGGAGTTCCCCCTTATCAACTCACCCCTTGAGGTTCATCTGGAAGACGCAATGGTAGTGTGACAGGTTCCTCCAACTCGATGGAAAATGTGTTGGCACCCATTTCGAATTTCTCTGTCAAATCTTCAGGAGTTACATCTTTGCGACCAGTCTTCTTTACGTGGTTTAAGTAATATTCAGCACCGGCATCTAGGAAATTGTACATGTGGTCTTGATGCATGTGCGGTGGGGGAACGGACGCAGTAGCAGCAGTGAACGCAGCTGCAGCAGGCAAAGCTATGGTGCGACCGGCCATATCGTCCTCCTAAAAATATCAATATTACAATTAACAAGCAAGCCACCAATTAGCAACTTAATCCTTTTCATATCTTAGGTTTTCTGGGATATTGGAACTTACCCCAACACCAGCTCTTTCCGCAGCCTTCCCGATGGCAGAGTTCTCGCCTCGTGGTCCCATCATTATAGCAGCTGTTCCCTTTGTGATCCACTGGAAAGCTTTGCTCTGTAAAAAACAAATTGCAATGATATAAATTTCACAAGTAATTTCTAATTTCACAAAACCTATCACATAAATGCCTAATTATCAAATTACCTCAAGTTTAGTCTCCGGTGCGCCAATGACCTCATTCAGTCTGGTCGCAGTTATGGCGACTGGTGACAAGTTGAAGCTGTCATCGGAGCCCGGGGGCAGGTTGCCGAGGATGACGTCAGCGAGCGCATCCGGCCCGCCTTTCACTCTCACCAGGCACGCAGCCGCACGAGCATCATCCGATGGATATCCTGTAAACAAAATATATAATTTCATGGCATAGGATAGACGAGGAGAATATAAAGAAATACAAGGGAAAAGATACAAAAACACTAGTCAGAACCAAAACCTACCGTTCTCATCGCAGGCGTGAGGATCGAAGAGATAGTAGTGGTCGTCGTGCTTCCATACAGCGTTAGATGCGCCGCGCGCGGTCACCACGGCGTGCGAGTGTTCACGGAACAATTGGCGCAGCGATTGCTTCAGCGACATCACCTCGTTCGATTTGGGGCTTAATTCACCTAAAAGTGAATTAACTTGTGAAAGGCTTTCTCGTACCATTACTCGCAGTCTTTCAAATAGATTTTCATTAAAATTTATAAAATTATATTTTAGAGTCATTGCTTAAACTATATGCTATGCTTACATTACATCAAAGAATTTACAGTTAAATTTAACTTCAGAACGGCAAAGTCAAACTGTAATATGCAAATAATTATCAACATATTTACCGGTATAAGCGCTATCCAATATATCAGTTTCGATACAATCGTAGTCAGATATTCGGAACTTGTCCAGCACGTCCGCAGCAGCGAGAGTCCCGCCTGGCGAACCCCCTTCCTCTTCTTCTTCAACATTCTCGGCTTCGTCGGTCTTGGTGGTTGTATCCAAGCTTATACCCATTCGTTCAAGATTCTCCATTGTATTTTGGTAAAGTATGTCACCGCGTGTTAAAGACTATAATAAGACAAAATTCGATTCAAGTTTACTATGAAAATGTCATTTTAATTGGTCCTACTGGAAGGTTGGAATGTTTTAAGATTGGAGGGTTTCATGTGGTTGATTGAGTAGTCGGTCAAATAGTCGGTCGTTTAGTTGATTGATTAGTCGGTCACGGATTCAGTCGAGTACTTGGTCGACCGGCTGGAAGCTAAAAGATCTACTTAAGAAACAGTTTCAATTAAAGTGTAACCTCGTCGATTTGATCAGCGGTCCATTCTGAGGGGTCTACGATGTGGGCTAATGCTATGGCCGCGATGGAGGCCGGCGTGGCTTGGCGGCCGCGGTGCTCCTCGGGGAATCTCTCGTCTGCCTCGTGGAAGCGACCGCGTACTACCCAACGGTTGGGCGCGACGGCTGTTCAAAACAAAATAATTTATGACTTACATTTATAACAATTTGCTGGTCACTATCAAAATACAATACCACTTTAGTCTGGTCTTACAATTTCAACACTTACGTTTTAGTTTGTTGACTGGTTCCGGCATCTCGCCCAGCTCCTGCACGGTCACGTCAGAAATGCTGAACGGCTTGCGCTTCATGTCATTCGTGCAGTCCAGCAAGTGCTCGCACAGTCGCGATATCCGCGTGAAGTATAGAAGACACGCCTTACCACCATCTTGTAAACCGACCTATGCACCGGAACACAAAATAACGAAAATAATAATAAGACGTCTGTACTGCTGCAACTTGAATAGAATAAATAATAAGCCTTACCCTATAACCATATCTGTCCGCTGGCCAAGGATGGTAGATGTAGTAGCGACCACCCTCATTCCAAATAGCCACTTCGTACTCTCCGGGGATCTATAAACAATACAAGAAAGTTAACCACAAACAAAAAACAGAATATACAGAATACACAAGCTATCCTAACCTGCAAAACGCCGGCGTCCGATTCCTTGAAGAAAGCCTCGATACCTCGACACAAGTCGAAGACTTTCGGGTCCGATGACAGTATCTTACCCCATACGGCTATACCACGTTCCTGTTCAGTACAATAGTAAGTTATTGTCAAGTTATTACCCCATTTCACGCACAGTTGTAGAAAATTACCTTATGCTTGTACTCATGGTCTCGTATTCTGAAGGTTTCTTTTATTTCCCCGAGAACAAGACGTCTAATCGGTCCACCTCTTTCCAAAAGTGATTCCTGTTAATCAATTCAATCATTTCATCCAAATTATTGTAAAAGTAGATCTTTTGGAATAACTTTATTCAATATTTATAACACTGTTCTATCTTACTTTTCTAAATATGACGCTTAGACTAGGACAAATTCTTAGTACATCGAATAAAGTATCTGTCATTTCTAAGCTCTACCTGATTACTTAGACTGTACTTCTATTAGAGATTGTTACGATATTTATACCCTATAAATATTGTAGCCCAAATCCAGTGTTTCATCTAGGATATCATCGTTCCAGGCTCTCGCGCGCAGTCGTCGCAACATGGCGAGTGCGGCCACACAACACGCGATGCTTGTAAATGTTTTAAATGTCTGATATCTGTAAAGTAAGAACACTTGACAGTTAAAATATATAAAAAAGGAACCTATCTAGCAAACCAAGTGAATTATCAATAAAATTTGCAAAGAAGTGACGCATTTGCATATGACAGAATCAAGAAAACGTTTACTCATTTCCTATTGGGTTACCCTCAAAAATATCTAAGGTGATATACAATTCTTGGGATTACCTATAACTGGCCATGTGTCGTGTTGCATGCAAGATCCACTTCTCGACATCCATCTGTTGGAACTGTGAGTGGAAGTTCTGGTCGGCGATCTCCACCGGACTGTGCAGAATCGTCTCCGACTTGGGTAGAGGGATTATGTCATCTCTAAACAAATATTGAAAATTAATTTTGGTAATTTCAAGTATAACGTAGCATCTCTAAATTCCTTCGTATGAAATCGTCTCAAACCAATAATTTGGGTGGTACCTCCAATTTATATTTCTACATATTTAAATTAAAACTGGCTGTCAGCAGGACTCCGTCCGCGTGGATATATAAAAAAACTTAATATATAGATAAGTTAAATAAAAAGCAGCTCTTCAAGGCAGAAATTCGTAAAAAACCTCCTACCTCCTCACCAATATTCAGCCATATCGGTAAAGCCGTTCTTGAGTTTTAAATAGTGTAACTAACACGACTTTCTTTTATATATATTATAATATATAGATGAAAAAGATCTACGATCTAGTTGATGCATTGGTGATTTGTGACACTTTATTTACCTTCCATAAGTATGTGCGTCTGTATGTGGACTGTAGAGAAAGAAGTCTTCACCGCGCAGCGACATTATTTGTTCCTGAGTGGGAGCTGGAGGGGGTTTCTCGGGAGGTACAGGCAGAGTTGGAGGAGGCTAACACATTATAAACCTTTTTAGTAAGTATAAAGTGCGAATTTCTTTATTTCTACGTCCTACGTCCCTTTTTAGTCTAGAGTAAGTTATTTTTTTAAATCTTGATTGGTTTATAAATTCTTTACTGCAAAAATATTTAAAAACATACCTCTTTTGGAACTTTCTGATAAAATTCTCGAACTTTCTTCCTAGACGTTGCTCTAGAGGTCGCTAAGCTGACCGCACTCAACGAAACCAGAGGATATTGTCCCTTAACAACGAGTAATATAAAACAAAAACAAATATAAAACATATTATTGACAACAAAAAAGACAAAAAAATTACCTCTGTCAATTTTTTCTCTATGAGCACATTCATATGAATACTTTCCCATTCGCTTTGACAGTGGGTTTTTAAAGCTTTCAAATCCAATTCATACTTAGGTTCACGGGTCAGAGGTTCAATTTGTACAACCTGCAAAGAAACATGACTTAGTATTGTTGTCTCCTTCTTTCTTCTCCTCTACCGTAGCATTCGTAGCGAGCGTAGCATGTGTAGCCTTCGTAGCAAGCGTAGCGTAGCATAAACAAAACGGAAATTTAAACGACTGAAGTTATCAAGTTGGAAATTCTATAAATACATTTATTAAGTAATATTGTTATCAACAGACCTCAATATTAGTTAAAGTAATCGGTGGTTTTGGAGTTCCCCTTTTAGCTGCACTGAGATCTCCGTAGTTGGCAAGAAAGTCTAATACGAAGGATGTGATACCAGCGTAGCGAATGAACGCCCCAGCACCATATCTAGTGATAATACATTGAACCAATATCATTACAAATGCATAGTTTTAACAGTGAAACGAAAGCCATTGGCACTAGCAAATTCGCAACAAGGAGGTGAGTCAAAGATTTAATTCTTTTCTATAGTCAAAATACGACAATAGATTAAGGTCATAAAAAGAGGAAAGGATTGTATGGGTATTCCTATAATAAACCATAAGACTGATGAAGCATCTTATTAAAATCCAAATTGATTCGTTTGACCAGAGCCATTGCTCTTTTTTCAAGACTTTTACCTGCTTTATTTCCTAGCAATATTACCTAAAACGTTCTAAAGATTAGTGCTTTTGCATACTTACAGAGTATTCGGCTGACCCAATTCATTAAGCATGTGCGGATCGAATATGTAACAAATAGTTTTAACAGTGCTATTCGCCTCCGGTGGCGGGGGATGACCCCAGATTAGGAAATGCCTTTCACCGTCAATACTCAAAATCATCATGTATGTACTGCCATTTAGTTTTTCCATTAATCTAAAAGAACAATAATAGTATTTTATTTCAATTTAAAAGGAAATCTAGGAAATGCAGCCATGTTTTTTTTTTATTTTTTTTTATAATAGAAGGGGGTAAGCCAGCGGCGGGAACACCGAGGTGATTCACAACACCCATGGACATGCAACACCAAAGGAACTGCAGATACGTTGCCGGACTTTAAGGTAATGCTCGCTTCATTGCAAAAAGGTTAAGATAAAGGTGAGATTAGATTTATTTTTAAACTTTTGGTATGATATAGGAATAAACTATATTTGATAGTCAATAAACTTACGCCAAGAGGTCGGACTGAGCCTGTATATTATCAGGATGTTTCGCCAACAATCCTGACATCGCCTCTGTCATTTTGACGGTATATTTCTTGTCGTAAAGGTAAAACGATGTGAGTAACTGATTCAATTGTAGTTGGGGTTTGCCTATAAAACAAAACATAGGGATTAGGTCTGTATGAAATTTAAAAAAAAAATTAGTCGCCTATATGCTCTACGGACTAGCAGGAGAAGGTGCAAGACAGGCGACTTTGACGATCTCTTGTGTCGGAGGCCAAGACCCAATTTGGATCGATGCGCCAGCGAAGTATATGCTCTACATCTAAGCCGAATTTCAGCGAGATTAGTTTAACCGTTCTTGAGATGTTTTCTAATAAAGATTTAAACTGTCAAATTTATATTATTAGTAATATTTAAAACAAGAGAGTTGGAGAATAAAGTAATTCAAACCTTTATAGCACTTAAGTGCCACCATACAGCGCTTGTAAAACCTATCACCCCATTCTATCACCTCGTCAACGTCTCTCTTCACAAGCTGCGCCGGTGACTTCTCTTCCAGTAGGGCGCGGCAGATCACTGCTATGCAACCCGTTTGAGAGCCTAAAATATTGTCATCCAAAACATTAGCAATAAAATGAGCCTAGAAATTGACCAACTTTAAGCCAAAAAATAACTAAATTACAGCCACAAATTTAGGCAAGAATTATCGTAATCGGCCCGGAAAATTTAATGGAGGAAGGTTGTTCTGTCCTTATAATAATGCAATGCAACGCTTCTTTATCAAAAAATCAGTTTTTATTCTTCGTGTAAATACGTAATGTTAGGAAGAAAATCCGACACTGTGCCGGTGTACTGGAACAACACTAGCCTTACTAAAATGTAAACGTTTATGTCCCCTCACTATGCATTCTGACTTGACTTTGTAACGAAAGCCCGACATTCGCGTCAAAGGATTCTAACTAATAATGTCTAAAAGTATGAAGATAATTACCGCAAGCAGTTGATGAATACTTTTTAGAATTACAACCTACAGTCCCTTGTAGGATCATCTTGTTTTTCTCTATTTGCATAAAGCTATGCCATATCTGTAATAAAAAGTTAAAATAACATTTTCAGTAATTAAAAAAATAAGTTTGCCACCTGCAACGTTTTTATTCAATTGTGGTGGAAAGTCTTTTATTGAGAGCATTTTACTCAATTTACGTGTATGACCTAAGTGTAGACATGGTTTATCATAACTTGACGAAACCACTATCGCAATTCCTAGCCCTCAATATTCAGGCTAAGAGCGTTGTGAAAAACATTAAAGTGTTGACTTCATTGTCGTCTTATATAAGTGCCCACTTAAGTTCTTTAAACACGCCTAAGTTAAAAATAACTTAATCAACCACTCTATGTTTACTTACTCTTCTCAATTTCGCACATTCGTATAACGGCTGAGTGATTTCCTCGGCGGGTATCCGTGGCAACCTGGGGCGGCGTCTTCGACGTTTCATATATGGAGGGACCCATTTTCTTGTTTTAAATTCAGGTTGTTCTATTATCTGCAATAAGCGTTGCGTCCAGATTATTGTTTCATGACTACCTTCGAGAACATTCCCTGAACATTTAAAGTAACTGTAGAAAATATTATTTTTATCTCAACAGTCAAGCTTAGGTTGTGGTCACTAAAGTAACTACTGTTACTAACAATCGGTGGTAATCTTTCCGGCGGTGGCGGTGGTTTCCATGGTCTCGTTGTTATTTGCACTTTAGTAACTTCAGGCCATCGTTTTTTGAATCGAGTTTTTCGCAACATCGCTCTATATTCAGCTTCTCTGTAATGATAAAACACGTGAATATAACTTGGAAAATTTTCTTTGATGCTAGAATACTTCGAGATTCTTACTCTCTAGCAATTTCTGATGCTGTCTTCGGTATCTCTTCGGGTACTGGAGGCAATGGTTCTTCTTTCCCTTTCCCTTTACCTTTTCCTTCTGGCTTTTTTTCTGTGGGTGCATCTCCTGCAGCGGTTCCTCTACAAATAAAGTAATCGATGTAGCCTACACTTTATTTTTTTTCTTTCACATATATTGGGCAAAGTTTCGAATACCTACTTCTTTTTATCAGCCATTGTAGTTTTATCTAATGCTTCTTCATAAACAATTTTTTTTCAATTTTTTCTGCAACAAAATATTTTCGTTTTAATTAACTCTAAATACAAAAATTGATGGAGAACTAGGATTTGAATATGTAAGATTCGTAGTTCCTTTCTATTACTTGCTTTACCTTAGAACCACGTTAACTTATTGTGGATTTCTGAGACCAAAATTCCCGTTTAAAACATTGTTATCTCTGTTTTGTCAAAGATTTTGGTCTTAGAAACCAACGGTACCGCCAGTCTGAAAGTTACTAGACTGCCTAAGTAAAATTTGTATTAATTAAGCTAGTTAACTCTATATTACAACTACGATAATTCCAGTGACACACGGAAACCAATAAGATACACATGTTTATTCAACGAAGAGAAAGTATTTTTAATAAACTACATATCAACGAAAAATATATACTTATTTTTTTTTAAATACCGACGATTTACTAAAACCTATTTTAGTTTTTGCATACTCACGTTTTATTTTTTCCGCTTTTTATATTTTATTTTTGTAATTTAAATAAAAAACATTACAGTTTAGAGTTTATATTCCATGTTTACAGATCTAACGCAATTTTTTGTTTAGAACATTTTTAAACGATTTGTTTTTATTTGGCGGCACCTTTCAAAAGTAGTGTTGTCATTGCTTACTGCCTGTCGTATTTTATAATTTAATGTCATCAAAATAAAATAAATTGAAATATATTACATTATCTTTTAAGTCATAAAATTAGAGAAATGCAGAATCAATTTAAATATTAATTTCCAGAAAATAAAGTCTACCTTTTCGATTGGCGTTGGCAACACGGCAATTAAATGTAGCATGTCGAAATCACATGATTTTCTTAAAATTCGAATTTGATATCAATTTCAGCATTAATGTTTGAGCATGTGGTGATAATTTGCACGTATGAAGGATTAAAAGTGTTAACTTACATTTATTTTGCCTATTTAATTCAATATTAGAACCAAATTCATACAATGAATACGTTAACAAAATGTAATTTCCATACAACAAAATTATAGAACAAAGTAACACCGTTATATACTCTATACGGGTATACTAATTTCTTAAGTCAATCTGTGACGCAAGTGGAAAAAATTGTCAAAAGTCAAAACTCGAAAACTTGAAATTTACTTTTTTCCGGTTTCACCTTCTTCAACTTTAATTACATTGTCCATCTAACAATGTCTGATAATAAAGATGTTTCCAAAAAGGACACTGATCCTGAGCTCGGTGACTTATTGGATAGTAAGTTTGTTTTTGTCTTATTGCATGTTCTGTTCTGTCATGGTGTTACACAATCTTTAACCTAGTTCATATTTAATTTAAATTGTAAAAGCTTGTTATAAGTGCGTAAAATGAAATTAGAATTAATGTTTAAAAAGATTAGTTTTATACAATGTTGAATAAAGTAAGTGTAAATGTGTGTCATATCCAAATATAACTTTGATATTGACAATACAATTTTATACAGATTTTATTTATATCAGTTCAGATTTTATTTACTTTTCTTATATTTTACCAACAAATTCAACTATTCTCCGATATTGTTCTTTAAAAGTAACTAAAAATATCAATCATTATAATCTGAAGATGTCGGAAATAAATGTAATGTGTTAAAGTATATATTAAAATAATCTTCAAAATTCATTTTACACTATCAACATTAAAGCTCTTATAAGAAAATCAATTTCTTCTTCTCTCAATCTTCAATAATTTTATATTATTAAAGGTGCACTCCAAGATATGATACAAAAAACAGAAGGTAATACAGAAGAAAATGAAAATAAGTCAGAGGAAGATGCTCCTGCCAATGTGTGGAATGAAGAATTCATAAGAGAAGCTGCAGCACAGTTTGAGAGTAACATGGCTGCTCTGCTCGGAAATATCAGTGGAGTAGCAGGTACTGGATGATACAATTTCTTAAAAAGTATAGTAATGGAAAAATATATGTGATAACATATAAATAGTGATTTTTATGTTGATACATTTTACTATAGAGTTAAGAATTAAAACTGGATATTTGACATGTTACACAAAATACAGTTGAACCAGAGTAAGCAAGAGTCCAAAGGACTGATATTTTTCTTATGAAGAATATCCATTGGTACCGGACAAGAACTCTTGTCCCTCTCTCTGCATTATATTTAATAAAATATAATAATTATTCACTTTTTTTTATAATGAATTAGATAAAACTACGGCTTAAACATCCCATCTATGTGTGTTACTTAATACATATATTATTTATACTTACAGATGAAAATGTAACTCAAGAACAGATTGCGCATACCTTCTCCAAAATGGCTGGTAAGTACAAATTGAATGCATAATTTTTATTAATAAAAATTTCATAATAAATAATAGAACTTGTTTCAAGACATTATGTTTTCTTAACAGAGGCAGCAGCGCAAGTGTTGAAACCATCAGATACACCTGCAGTGGATACTGCCAACGATACGGCAACTCAGGAGAAAATAAATGAGGTGACTTTTTAACATCAATCAACTTTACAACGAATAGTGATGCAACATGATCTGTGGAGTGTGAAAGATGTGTGAAGTTGCAACGTTTGACTAAAGCTTATGAAGGCACTCTGGTGTGATTGTAATGCTCTTTGTTTTCAGGTATCAGAAGCGATTACACGAACTCTGCAGAATCTTAACACTGATTCAGAAAATCTGCAGACACCATTCTCCGAAAACGATTTAGCTAATATGTTTGCCAACTTTAATATGGGTGAAGGTGGACAGGTAAAATTTTAATGGTTTTTATTACTAGCAATCAATAATTATTGAAAAATAAAGTTAGTAAAAGTAAATGCAGTAAAACCTTCTTAATCTCAAAAATTACATTTCGTAATCATTTTATAGACATTTTTTTTAATCACACAATACTCTTTCAGGAGAACAACATGTTTGTGCCATTCATGCAAGGCATGATGCAATCACTTTTATCCAAAGAGGTTTTATACCCATCACTGAAAGACCTTGTGGAACGTTATCCCACATGGCTGGCTGAAAATAAAGGCAAGATTGAACAGGCTGAATATGAAAGGTAATATTTTTATATTGCTATTAATTTTAAATGTAGAATACCGTTGTCATGAATTGTATTTATACATATTACTTTCATTCTCTTTAATAAAACAGAAAATACAATGTGTATTCATTAATAACAGAGGTCATGATAATTGAATATTGTGGTAATAAATTTCAGTGACAAAAAATACATAATTCACATAAATTATGTTTGTCCTCTAATTTGTTCATACTTGTTTTCGTAAGTCTTTTATGATTATGTTTCTACATGAAATAAACCACAAATAACCTTAAAATTAACTGCTATGAGGAACCTGCTTTAAATATAACATTCTTTAAAATCAACTTAGTGATTCAGGCTACAATGTCGTAAGGGACAGAAGACACTATGTACTATTATATATTCATTTTTAGATTCGAAAAGCAACAAAAGCTTATGGAGGAGGTATGTGCTGAACTAGAGCCGGAGCAAGAATCAGACCCTGAAGAAGTAAAGAGGAAACGCTTTGAAGTTGTTTTGAATCTCATGCAGCAGGTAATGTATTCAGAAGTTAAAAAAATATTAATAAAACCTGAAAATAAATTCTTTAATAAAGAATACGAAACTTATCGCACCTCACATATCCAAATTGGTTTGTTCCCTCACATTCATGTAATCTGGGGGCATGGCAATGCACCCAATGAGGCCAATTCTTTGATAATGGCTTGATATTTAATTTATAAATTTCACAATTCTAGAAGTATGTGAATAATAAATTGTAATATGTAACTATTATTTGTTACATCATTCTTCTTACTAATATTATAAATGTGAATGTTTGGATGAATGAATAGATATTTGTTTTAAGGTATCTCCAAAACGGCTCAATGGACTGGATGAACACATGGGCTTAGTTACAAGCACACTAATTAAGTTCTTTTTTTTTCGGCGTAGACGGAGTCGCGGGCGACAGCTAGTGTTATATAAAGTTAATGCATAAAAATGCAAAAGATGTCTTCTGTGTTTAAAATATAATAATTTCCTAATTATTTAATAATGTTACTTTATAGATGCAAGATCTCGGTCAACCCCCCAAGGATCTGGTGGGTGATATAGGTGCCCCTCCCCCAGGCTTCGCACCCCCTGCTGCTCAAGACGGTGGGCAATGTGCTATAATGTAACCATTAGCAATATAAACTAACGAGGTATGGATAATGTATGGAGGCTAAGATGGTTTTACTAATAGTAAATATATAAAAAACATGTGATGGATTAAGTCATCACAATGTATGTAACCACTAGTAAAAGTGCAGAAAAAACGTGGAATAAAGTTGTAACTTGTATGCTAATAAATTATTAGAGACATATCTTTCAAGTGTCAATAAAAATGCAATATATCTCCGTATAGTTTTATCATTCGAAAAATTATTTCTTTAATTGATTCTCTATTGAAAAATATAAAAATCGATTGTATGTAATCGATGTATCGAGTTAATAATCAAATAATCGGACGATTTTGACAGCTGTCAAATGCGATTATTGTTTTTGACATTTCATTATGTCTTATAAATTATACATATAGTTATAGATACAAACATGCCAGTTGAATTATTCATATTGCTTTTAAATATTATTTGGCATTGTTATTTTAGCTTTTCGATATTTTTCAAATGTAGGAAATAAAATCAAGTAATAATACTAAATTATACTTACACAATGTCGATGAAAAACTAATTTTGCCGAAATGACATTAAATCATTATTTTCTCTATAATTATAAAATTTCAAATTGTGCACAAGTATCTTCTATTTTGTTGAATAACGAATGTTTTAGTTTTTAATAACTTTATTTATAATGTAAAGGAGGTTGTTCTTGAATATTAAAAAAAATATATTTTAAATGTGGACAAAGATATTTACAATTATCTATAGCTATATACATTTTGTTTAGTATTATTATTGGTGAGGGCTTTCCTTTATAGAGAATTTGAAATATTTATACAAAATGGGGAATTGTGTCGTAATTTTTGCATCACAGATCAATGTATAACAAATATAAGAAGAGAATTTATGATCATTTTAAAGTATTAAATGCATAGTAAAATATAATGTAACCAAACATGAGTAAATACTCGGTGAGAGACTATGATGTGCCTAATCGTGTTTGTAAAGTCAATTTTGATTGACATTAAAATATAAGGTTATTTTGTTTTAATCATATATTTATATTTTTATTTGGTTTATGGCTATTTTATTTTATCTATTTTGAGTGCCAAAGACAATCTTATGGTATATCATTGAAAAAAATAAATATATTTAAATGTAAAATAATCTATGATAAATGTTGATGGGATAATTAAGGAATGAATTAGTCCTTATAATTCTTATTTAAAATAATCTATTAAATCTAAATATCAATTTATCATACAGTACATTCTCAAAACATAAAGTTTGTAAACAAAGAAACGTCACTTAGTAAAAATGAATGCCATTACAATGTTGTGTAATAAAAAATGTTATTTTATCAAAATAGCCATATTAAATGAGGGATGATGATGATATGAGCAAAAAGTAATGAGATTGAATATTAGTGGCTACAAAGGTAGTGTAAGACTGATAGGAAGACCATAGATTCAGATATGACGGGTGTTAGAGATGTATGGAGGCGGTGTACATACTGTGCCGACCCTCCATAGGGTTAAGGGCAGGTTGATGATAAGTCATATAAAAGGAGGACGTCAGGGAGTCGTATAAACTTGATATGAGTGAAAAAAGAATTCTCGATATTTCATAGTTTACGAAATTTTGTTTACAAACTTTGTTTTGTATTAAAATAATATAACATAGATTGCTTGATTTATTTGGCGTATTTTACCAAGTCCTAAATGAGTAGTTCCTGGCACAAATATATTATTTTGTAGTTGATTAGTTTCCATATTTAATACAATATTGTATATTACGTGTAGTAAAGTTGCATTTGTGTTTTATTTAGTTGATATTAAAATTGTTTAAATATTTATTGTGTTTTATTTTACATATATTTGTCAAAAATAAGGAGGAAAGCCATATGCGTCAAGTGTCCGCCTGTCATCTGTCAAAGTTTTTATATGTCATTCTCAAAAGTTAAAAATGTATCGCTCATTGAAAGTGCCCTGAATTTTTTTTTGGCGAAGTCTGCTATGGCTACAGTCGAGCAAAATGTTTCGGAATTCCGTGGTATAATATTTTTGGTTCGCATCCTTTTTCATGCCGACATCTATAGAGAGGCGCTGCTATCGCGATTGATTGTGACATAATACACATAAAATCCATTTAGACACAAAAAATAAAAAAAATACATAACAGCTACAGCACAAAGAGGATCTTGTGTCATTTTTTGACATAAACAGAGTGGCGCTAGTGAGCTGTGATGATTTAGTTTTACTTTATGCCCACCGGGTCAGACATCCTTGTCATTCTATTTGCCTGCAAATAAAAAACGATAATTGACATGAGTCATATTAAATTTAAAAGATATTGACATTATTTAGTTATTTTTTTCAAAATGATTGGAGTCAGGCAGTTACAAAATTTTACAGAACCCCTTTGCTGTATGAGAGATCTTATTTGAATTTCTTGTATTTGCAAAATAAATTTAGTTCCACAAAGAAATATAAAAAAGTAACCCATTGTTTATTCGATTTGGACGGCACTATACTAGGTATGGGATTTTTACTCAGTAACATAACATTTTGAGATATTTAATTTTAGATTTAAAAATTCAATCTACGTGGCTATGCCTTTAATAACATTTCATTTAAATATTAACATCGAAACTAAACCTTGCACATGGACTCTTGTCAGATGTATGGAATGGATGGAAACCATAGATTATAGAGGTTTTAAAAGTACAATACTTACACTCTAAGCTTAGATTAATAAAAAATTACCTTTGTCAAATTTCAGATTCAGAAATTATTTACCACAAAGCAATACAGAAAATATGTGAGCGTTATGGAAAAACATACACTAAGAAATTACAAAACCAGGTAAACTCACAGGGTTAATGTATTCACATTGAAGAAAAAAATCCTGAGTTAAAAAAAATACGATCGAATAATGGCGGTAGTTACAAAACAATTGGTTACATGTCTTTACCATACTCTCTAAAGTGTATCTTTCGGATAAATTAGATCGACTTTAATATGAGATGGAACATTATTCATTTACTTTTATTTAAGTACATTATTTATTTTTAAAGTTATATGGTGTAACTGATCGTCAATTGAGTATCGGAGTCGTTAGTGCACTGAAGCTGCCCATCTCTGTGGATGACTTTGAAAAGCAAATGACTGAATTGGTACAGAAAAACCTAACAGACTCACCATTTAAAGAGGGCAAGTAATTGCTAATATTCGTAATATTTTACCAGGATGAGTATCACTAAGACTTTATTTAGAAGATTTTTTTTAATTGCTTAAAAACTCTTTTTACTCCTTATAGGTGCTGAGCGGCTTTTATGGCATCTCAGTACCAGTAAGATCCCTATAGCACTGGTAACCAACTCAACAGACCAAGCTGTACAAATGCACGCCAAAGCGAGACCTAAATTGTTCAGTTTATTTCATCATAAGGTAATCTTCGAAGCAGTGTTTTGTTCTAAATTATTTAACCATTAACTATTCAATGAATAACTTTGTATCAGGTATGCATTACGGACCCAGAAGTGAAGCGCGGCAAACCTGAACCTGATATGTACTTGCTAGGCGCTGCAAGATTCACGCCGAAAGCGAACCCGACCCAGGTTAATGCTTCTCTATCATACTCTAAGATATGCCTGTAACGCTTCTGAGCACTGGTTCATGCATAGGATAGAAGTAAATCGCCTAATATTATTTCTAGTGTCTCGTTTTTGAAGACTCAGTAGTAGGAGTTGAAGCGGCGGTTCGAGCTAAAATGCAGGTTCGTTAATCCATTTTTTTGTAACCCTAATAAAAAAAGTATATTTTTCCGTTTATTGATATATGTAAATCAACATTTATATTCAGGTTGTCATGGTACCGGATTATCGTATTGATAAAGAGTTAACATTGAAAGCAACAATTGTTCTAAAATCCTTACTTGACTTGGATCCAACTTTATTCGGAATACCCGCATTCAAAGATGGCGTAAAACGTGGCAGTTGAAACGAAAATTGGTAGGGTAGTACGAAATTTTTCGGTTATAAGCGTCTATGTCCTTGGCTATTTTTTACATTTTTATATATATTTTTTAGTCGATTTTATTTATAAATAAAAGGCGTTGGTATTTTTCCAGTTTTTTATTTGCTTAAAAACCAAACCCATATTGTTATTAATCACAATTAATTTTGTTTTAACTCTACAAAGTACATTTAATAAATATGTAACATATAGATAAATTCAATTATGTTTACACAAAAACTAATAATGTGGTAAAAAAAAGTGGTTGATAGTTTCTTTTAATCTGGAACACAATTCTATAAATTTTATTAGTGTTGGTTGAATAATCTGATGTACGGTTGATTTCTTTGAAATACAGGGTGATTAAAAGTACTTTAATTTAAGAAAAAAAGCACCTTTGTATTATTTGATAATGAAACACAAAAACATATTATATTATAACATAGTACAGCGGTGAAGGATATATTGAATAAATAATAAAAATCTTTTAATTCTACTTTATAAAGTACTGTGACTACATACATATATCTATATTTTACACTTTACATTAGATTATGTTACATTATTTATACACTTTAATTTAAAGCTAATTAGTAAAAAAAAACTTAATTGGGTGATAGTTATAGTAATGAAAAATGAAGAATAAAAATTTGAGCAAGAAAAAACAACAAACAAAAAATAATACCAAAATAAAGTTTTTCTTTAATTATTTTATCTAAAACTATTAGAAATGGTTTTTCTTTCTATATATTACAGTCATATTAAGCTACAATTTTTGCCAAGTTAAAAGTGACTATTCCACTGTTTCAAATCTGCCCTTACTAATAATAGCCATTACGATCTGAATGATTTTAATATGATTTAGCAATTGTCTGTAGGTCCCCACTGCTGAAAACTACATATAAACATTGTCATCCCTTAGGGCCAATTGCCAAATGCACCCCTATTCTCTTTGAAGACAATAACTATGTTTAACGATCAACAATAGGAACCTACTAAAATATAAACACAATAAAATGCAAAAGGATTTCGAAACCACAAACTGATCGTAATGGCAATAATTAGGTGGTAATCTATAGGATCGAATGGTTGATTTGTAGAAAAAAATCACTGGTGAGAAATGACTTTAAAAGTGTTACAGTAAAATAATAATCAGCTATAGTGTGTCTAAGATCGTCGTTTGACAATTCACAAGATATGGTTTGAGTAAAATCGATTAAGAATTTTCTCGATTTTCAATAGTCGTTCTCATAGAACTTGCAATTGAAAATATCGTGATTATTCATTTTGAATTACAATATAAATAAATTTGTTTCTTTCTATTCCTACTTTATCATTCATAACGACATAAAGAAATAACACATTAAAACAAAAACTGCGGTGTTGACGAAGAAAAAAGATTTTTTTAAATTAATTATGCAATACACAGACAAATAACTGTTATAAATTCAAAAAGTTATAAAACATCTATATTATAGTACCCATTTGTTGGATTAATTTTATTACAACAGCGATTTTCGATAGTTCAGTTATTCGTTGCGCACGACGGTTCGACACTGATAACCGTCGATTAAGTACAACAATAATGCTTATACAAAATTAATTGGATATTTTATAGGCGTCAGTTGTCAAATTATCTAAAATAGACACACTATAATATTTATTATAATAAATAAAGTTTGTTTATTGAAAGAAAAACCGTATCCTAA